CTCTGCATGCTGTTACCAGAGCAGGGAGCAGCAGCAGTCAAAATACCTCAGAAACTCAAACAAATAGGCTTTAACAAGGCTTTAATGAGCTAAACAATAGAGGTACATGAGAAAATATGTTCATAACGAACGAAAATAAATAAATAATTAAATAGTGTCCGTGCTGGTCTCAAACACTGGTCTCCTGCTCTCTGGTCCACCACTCTACCCATTGCCCTATTGGAGGCTTGTTGTGAAATGAGCTGCACATTGCACAACAACACGGTGACGTCTTTTTATACTGAGGAGGTGGAGTCTCACCTGGGGGTTGCTAGGTAAGGGGCTGAACGCAGGTTCTGGTGGGTTGTCGTACGGCTTGTGACATCACAAAATGATGGAAGTAAAAAACTTGACGTTAAACACATTAAAAATACATTTACTTACAGTAAATATGCCCCTGGTGCATTTTTTTGGTCCTAGGACTGTTTTTTTAAGAAGTACATACCCAAAGTTGAGTAAAAAAAACCTTTAAAAAGTGAATTTTGCATAATAGGTCCCCTTTAAGCTTGATTTACAGAAATAAATTCCAATTAAATGCATTCAGATCTCTTTCATTTCATCAGCAAACTTCGTATATTTTATTTCTTTTAATTATTGAATAAAACAGGGCTATTCAACTAAACTGCTCCAGGGGCCACAGTTACTGCAGACCAACAGCTGAGGGGCCGAACAGCCAGCAATTAAAGTTATTATGTAAATAAACCAAGTATTACAAAGATCTTTGAAATAGTTTATTTTGCTGCATTTAATCAGGAATATAACATACAGAACCCTATAAAAGTACATTATATAACACATTATGCTTCATATTTACCACAAATATTTTGACGTCTCTGACTTGACAAATTTTTAAACCAATTTTATTTTCACTTTCATCATTTTATCTTCAACTGCTTGTAGTTTTAACTGTCTTGAGTGTTTATAGAAATGGTTTTTACCAGCTTCTAGCCAAGATTCTGATGTTTCTGTAGATACCAAACCTGTCTATGTTTCACTAAAAGAGCTTAGAGTACTGTATTTATTTATGTATAATACTAGAAATTTAACTCTAAAAATCATCCATAAAGTGGGGGGATAGTATTATACACGGGATGTCGATAATTAGATTTTTGATGGTTTTTGAGCTCAAAAAATGATGACCGTAATATACTCGATCGTATTATACATAAGTAAATACGGTAATTAAAGTAGAAAACCGGGGGTTTGGACTTAAGAGATGAATGAACCATTCGGCGGGCCGAACTTTGGTCACTCATGGCCGCCAGTTGAATAGCCCTGATCTATACGTTTTATCTTTTTTGAGTGAAGTATGTTTTAAATAAAATAATAATAAAAATACATTTTGTGTTCTTGTGCTCCAGTTAGCTTTTAGCTGTTTTTCTGATTTTAGTTGTTTGCTGTGGGTTCTGTTAATATTAGTTTGTTTTATACTGTTTTACTTCTCTTGACTTTTAGCTYCTGTTCTGATGGTTTAAGCTTTTTGCCACTGTTCTGCTAGCATTAACTTTAAGCTAATTTTTTGCTAATTTTAAGTAAAGTCTTTTGCTCGAACAATTTAAGCTTTTATCTGCTGTTTTGCTGGATAAACAATTTTGTTTATTTTAGGTTTTACCAACACATCTGTTGATTGTAGCTTATTACTACAGTTTTGCTGATTTTAGCTGTCAGAGGTATGCTAATTTTAGCAATTAGTTTTTGTATTACTAATTTTAGATTTAATAGGGATATTACGTATTAGTAGACACATACTTGAATTCTACACCAGTTATGTAACTACAGTGGGGAAAAATTATTTAGTCAGCTACCACTTGTGCAAGTTGTCCTGCTTAAAAAGATGAGAGAGGCCTGTAATTGATATCATAGTTAGACCTCAACTACGAGAGACAAAATAAAAAAAAACATCTAGAAAATTACATTGTCTGATTTTTAAAAGAAATTCTTTGCAAATTATGGTGGAAAAAAGTATTTGGTCAATAACAAACAAGCAAGATTTCTGTTTCTCACAGATCTGTAACTTCTTTAAGAGGCTCCCCTGTCCTCCTCACATTACCTGTAGTAATGGCACCTGTTTGAACTTGTTATCAGTATAAAATACACCTGTTCACAACCTTAAATGGTCACACTCCAAACTCCACTATGGTGAAAACCAAAGAGCTGTGTAAGACACCAGAAACACAAATGTAGGCCTGCACCAGGCTGGACGACTGGACCTGCAACAGGCAAGAAGCTTGGTGTGAAGAATAGAATAGAATAGAATAGAATAGAATAGAATAGAATAGAATAGAATAGAATAGAATAGAATAGAATAGAAACAGCCTTTATTGTCCCGTGCGGGGAAATTCAGGTATAGTAGCAGCAGCAGCAGATACATACAGTACATCAATCCACAGAAACAGTATATCACTATGTGACAATATCAACTGTAGCAATAATAATAGAATTAAAGATAGTAACAATAAAAATTAAACATAGATTGGAATAAAAATAAGAATAATAATTACTGTACCGGACTATCAAGATGAAATTAGATAAAAATTTAAAGCAAGATACCGTGCAGAAAAATATAAATTACAGAAAAAAAACAGTCATGACAGACTCATGATCAACTGTGGGAGCAATAATTAGAAGACCTACAAGACCACTGATGATCTGCCTTGATCAGGGGCTCCACACAAGATCTGATACTGTGGGGTCAAAATGATCACAAGAACGTGAGCAAAAATCCCAGAACCACAGTGGACACCTGCTGAATGACCTGCAAACCTAACAATAATAATAATGACCTGGGACTAACCTAACAAAGGCTACTGTCAGTAACACACTACACCACCAGGTACTCAGATCCTGCAGGGCCAGACATGTCTCCCTGCTTCAGCCAGTGCATATCCAGGCCCATCTGATGTTTGCTATTTTGAAGTTTTGCATTTGGATGTTCCAGAGGAGTACTGGGAGAATGCCGTATGGTCAGATGTAACCAAAGTAGACCTGTTTGGTAGAAACACAACACATATTTAGATGCTGAGTTGCATCTAAAGAATACCATGCCTACTGTGAAGCATGGGGGTGGCAGCAACATGCTTTGGGGCTGTTTCTCTGCAAAGGGACCAGGACCACTGATCCGTGTCCATGAAAGAATGAGTGGAGCCATGTGTCTTGAGATTTTGAGTGCAAACCTCCTTCCATCAGCAAGGGATTTGAAGATGAAACGTGGCTGGGTCTTTCAGCATGTTTACATGGGCATAAGTAATTGGATTAAYCAGTTGTTCAGAATAAAAATGCGTCATGTAAACAACACGTTCGGATTATTCTGATCCGTTTGAGTTCGATCCGAATGAATTTTTAATCCGAATGAAATGGGTGGGTTATACGACTGATAATCAGAATGACGTGCGTGTAAACACTTAGTCGGATCATTTTATTCTGATTGTAGAAAACTGACCTGTGTGCATGTCTTCTGACTTTCATTCACCTGGTTCTGCTCTTTAGAGGAGGTGGGATAGCAACGTTTCCAGCTGCGCTGCACCGTGCAGAACTTTTCCTCCACGCTCTCAACAGATGAAAAAGGAGACGTTGCTTCGCAAAAAATAAAAATATAAAGCACGTATTGCTTCATCTGCAGCTCAACCGAGGAGTAACGATGTCTCTACCGTTATTAAAAGCTGACGCGGGTCCGTCCTGAGCGCACAGAGGAGCTTTGTTTACGTTTGTAACACGGAAGTAGAGCTGAAAGTTTACAACACTGTGCATGTCCGGACTTTTATTCTGAATAAAAGTTCAGTGCATGTAAACACTTTTCATGATCGGATTATGTCCATGTAAACAATATATTCAGATTATTTAATCCAAATACATTTAAATCCGATCAAAAAATTTTGTGCATGCAAACATAGCAATCGATCCCAAGAACACCACCAGGGCAATGAAGGAGAAACATTTCAAGGTCCTGGAGTGGCCGAGCCAGTCTCCAGATCTCAACCCCATAGAAAACATCTGGAGAGAGATGAAAGTCCAGTGACAGCCCCAAAACATCACTGCTCTAGAGGAGATCTGCATGGACCAACATACCAGCAACAGTGTGTGCCAACCTTGTGAAGACTTACAGAAAACATTTGACCTCTGTCATTGTTAACAAAGGATATGTAACAAGTATTAAGAGTAACTTTTGTTATTGACCAAATATTTATTTTCTACTAGGGATGCACAATATATCAGCATTAATATCAGGYTCGGTCCGATGTGTAAAACTGAGGTGATATTAACGTCCGATATTGATTTCCCACTTTTTATCTTTGTGTTTCTGTTTTGGGAGAGGAGATGTTGGTTGAGCAGCATTTGTTTGATCAAGATAGTGATATTAATGCTGCACATTCAGGAATAACTGAAGTAGAGCCATGTCAGAGGTCTGGTTGTTTATTTACAGTATCAAAACAAGACCCAAGTGTGTTTGTGTGTATAGGTATAATATAATTTTTAAGAAGCTTCTACCATTTTTGACACTCCCACTTCAGCACATCTTCACAACAATGCTTCGYGGGAGGGGTGCTCTGTGGGGAGGAGCTCTGCTGCAGGCTGAGCTCCAGGGAGGAGCTTTGTGTAAATGGGCGGGGCTTGGTACCAGCAAGTGTTTAGGCAGCTCCACATGGCCACAGGAGATTCAAGGATTTCTCAAACATTCATGAATGAGTCAAAGCAACACTCGGGATTTGTTTTTGATGAGATAGAAACATTTTGATTTTGCTTAACACCCCCGCCCCCCTACTTGTTTTAGGTTCATTCTGCTTTTATTAATGCCAACAATTCAGTTTCAAATTCTCACCAAGTTTCAGCAGTAATTCAGTTCTCAGCTTCACTGCATTATCACTTAAAATTCAAATTTTTCTTGTTTGGACCTTGTTTTACCTTGTAGATTATAATTTGAGTGCAGTTTAGTTTTAAACAGACTTGTTGTTTGCTGTCACCAGTGGCCCCCATCAAAGCTCTCTGCAGTCAGTGCTTCGAGAGCTGGAGGAAGAAGTTTGGACCTCTGGGACTGAACTGCAAGGAGCTGACCGGTGACACAGAAATTGACGACTTCTTTGAGATTCACGACTCCCACATCATCCTGACCACACCTGTGTGTAATTCCACTCTGCATTTTATTTAGCACGTACAACAAAAACTAAAACTGATACGAGGTTTTAGTTGAAATACAGTGGTTAAGTGGACATGATTGTGCATTAATAGATGATACTGCTTGTCTTAGGAAAAGTGGGACAGCATGACAAGAAAATGGAAGGATAATTGTTTGTTGCAGCTTGTCAGACTCTTCCTTATTGATGAGGTGAGTGCATTCATCTCTGAGCATAATAATCCTCTAAACTAGCTGTTTTCAATAAAAAAAAATCAGTAAAACAATGCTCCAACAAAGGTTATATGGAATAAATGTGTTATACAGCAGGGCTATTTGACTGCAGATGACCCCCCCAATTACAAATAGATTTTAAATCAGTTTTAAYTTTACGATTCATTGCAACATAATTGCGATGTCCAGCCCCTGAGCTGTTGACTTTGTGTAATTATGGCCTCCTGAGCGATTTAGTTGAATATAATAATTATTCTAGCTGTCTAAATTTTTATATTTAAAAGTGTAAAAAGGAGCTTTTAAAAAGGCATGTCAAAATAATGTTTGCTTTGAGAAAGGCAATAAAAAAATTTGTTCTCCAGTTTCTTTTATTCTGCTGCACATGTAAATAAAAAAATATAGTGTCTGCTGTCATACACTCTTTAAACGCACACTGAGTGCGGATGTCCAAGGATGTTGATTTAAACTTTAGGTAATGAACAGAGGAGTAACAGGTAATGTCCTCTGGAGCCTGTGGTAGTGGTGGGTGAGAGGAGGATGTTGGCAAAGCTGACAGCCATCATGGACAACCCCCACCACCCCCTGCATGAAACCGTGGGGGGGCTGAGCAGCTCCTTCAGTCAGAGACTTAAACATCCTCGCTGCAGGACGGAGCTCTTCTGTAGGTCATTCATTCCAACTGCAGTTAGACTGTATAACACATCATGATGTCATCAGTTAGACTGTATAACACATCATGATGTCATCAGTTAGACTGTATAACACATCATGATGTCATCAGACTGTATAACACATC